ACTGATATATAATACCCTAATTACTTGAACTTGTTTGATGTCCTGCTGGGCTCCTTGCCAGTGGTTCTGTGTGAAGGGATGCGTTCATTGAATGTGCCTCCCTTCCTTGTTGATCTTGTTTTTCATGTGTTTAGGGGGAACATAGAAAAGTCAAAGTGTCAAAAAAGTATACATTAATAAATGTTACTGGTTAACTGCATCAAAAGAAATGAATCTACGAAAAGTACTTTCAAGTTTATTTCACGGAAAGATGCTGCTTTTGTCTTGAATAATGAACTTGATAAAATTTTATGCATGAATAAATCAAAGTTATTCTGCAGAAGAGATTTAATCATCTGATTTTCTCTTCTATAGAAGAGGCTAGAAGTCATAAATGGGTTTGTAAATTTGGGCATATTGTTTGATCTGCAATTCCTGTAACATCATCTTTGTGGGTTGGGTTAAAGTAAATATTCTATGAGCTTAAAGGTTACTGATCCTGTTATTTGTAAAACATCATTCTATTAGTAGCATGTATGAATTTTGCAATATTTATCATGTTGGTCATTTAAAAAAGCAGCAATTTGAACAGCTGATTGTTTTGTTTTTGTGCCCCACTTTAGGGAGGGGGACATTTAGATGTCCCCTTGTCCGTCCGTCCATCTGATATAGGGATATGGGGCCTTCTATTTGTAAACAGAACAAAAGAGAACAATAGAATCCATTCCGTAACAAAAGAAAAAGGGGTCCTGGCCCTCTATTAAACAAAAGAAAATAACAACAGAAATGGCCCTTTATCCCTATTCGGTCGGATGTCCGTCCTTCCGTCCGTCGGTTCTCATTTTATGTCGCACCTAGCCCAAAAAATACTTGACCTAGAGTCATAGAATTGACAAAGTAGTTGAGTGTGGGGGCACCCGTGTCCTTTGAGTCTTTCTTTTTCTAAATGCTTTAAGAAATAGGAAGGTGTAAATTATACTTAAGTATAAGGAATCTACGATAAAAATATTGTATAATTAACTTCTAATTTTTATACAAGAATGTTAAATATGCTATATTATAAATAATATGCAACATTTCTACCTGATACAGTCTTTATTTCAACAAAATTGTCCACATGTTGAATATTTCTCTTTTAACAGAAATTCAAAAAAAATATGTCAGTTTGAATTTTATATATAAATGTACCAGTACATATACACCATTTACACAGTGCATCACACATAATGTAATTAGACACTAGATTTTTAAGGAGTTCCACTAGAATTTAAAAGGCTAAAAACATAAAATTTGATATTTTTATATAGATCAATGTTCTTAAAACGGAAAAAAATCTGCAAAGGATACTAAAAAAATTTTATACTCAGAATTAAATTGGAAATTGATAGTGAGTGCAATTAATTCTCAGCCTGATTTGATTGCAAATTGTTTCAATGTTGTTGGTTTTTTATTATTATTATTTGGGGGGGGGATGCGGGCATTTTGTATAATAAAAAAGTTTTTTTCTGGAAAACGGGGTATGGGAATTTATAATCTGAAAATTTGCACACCAGTTACAGCTTCACACCTACATTGCCAAATGTAGACCTACAAATCTCGGAAAATTATTTCACATCCCATCATGATAAAAAAAACGTCAGTGGAGTCCCTTTAATCTTTTGTATGAATAGAATGTTCATTGGTCTGTAGCACTAAGTGTTCCTGCTGAATAAAAATAAACATGAAGAAATATTAATATGATTAAAAGTATAAATATTGGGCAAGACTGTGTCTCTAAATTTGTGAAACAAACAATAGAATGAGGCTATTTTGCCTTGCGTCCCTATATTTTCTCAGATGTCCATATAATTCATCATCCATTTATTGACAACCCTCTAATATTACCACAAAATCAATTGGATTTGCATACTTTAGCTGTTTGGAACGTTCGGAGATACTTTTACATGAGTTTTTGATAGGTTTTCGTAAAATTGTGACGGACTTTACGACTTGATGTCTCATTTTATATCTGCCTCAATTTCCATGATCAATAAAAGCACTTCTTCAAGACAAACTTGCTATTTGTGAGACTTAAGAATACATTAAGAGTAAAGAATGGAATTACTTTTCTATTTTATCACAGTTTGATTTCCCTGGCTTGTTATTCCATTTTCTCAAAACTTCACTGTCATAAAAGAGATATTTGTCTCTCTATTTCCTTCAAAGATTTTTACAGTTTATATTGCATCAACTAAGATTCTAACAAATTTATAAATGCACTAAGTAAATTTTATAACAGATGATAGAAAAATTATGCTGTATAAGATATAACCATTGTACTTTATAATGCTTTCCCAAAGAAATAATAGAAAAGAGAAATAGCTGCACTTTGAAATTTAAATTGGACTCATAAGAGGTATATTTATGGGGAAAAAAACATTAATGGAAAAAAGTCATTATAAACCAAAACAATTTGAACTACAGGTCAAATACGAATGCCTTATTACGAAAAGTGTAATAGTACCAAATAGAATAAAATTTAAAAATGTAAAGGCGTTATAACGTGAATAAATGCGTAAATATGCAAAACAGAAAGCGAAATTACGCGAAACAAAATACGCAGTAACGCGAAAAAAGGCATGATAACGTGAAAAGAGGCTTGAGAACGCGAAAAAAGGCGTAATTACGTGAAACAAAAGGCATAATAACGCAAATAAAGGCATATAACGTATTTTGGTTGGCGTTATAACGCCTATATTCGCGTTATTATGGCTTTTGTTTTTTGTTTAGCTTTATAACGCCTTTTGATTCGCGTTATAACACCCAGTGATTCATAGCTGGCGTTATGGCGCTTTTTTCGCGTTATAACGCTTTATTCGTGTTATACCGCCTTTTTATTAATGTTGGTTGTTCAATTTTATAACACATTTTAGTTCCGCGTTATATCGCTTTTTGTGTTTTTACGCCTTTTTTGCGTTATTACACAATTGTTTTACGTAAGCACAAATTTATCGCGTTTTTACGACTTTTTCGCATTATAACGCTTTTTGGTTTGCATTATTATGTCTTTATCTTTTAATTCGCGTTATAATGCCTTTCCAATATTTTATTTTAGTTCATACCATGAGGCTTTCGTAGATAAATGTATTAAAACAGGTAAATGCAAGAAAACTTCGAACGTAACTATACTAGAGACAAAACACAAAAGTATTACAAACGCAGTATCTTTCAATAACCAAAATGACTATAATGAAAATATTCTTAAAGCTATTTTAAATTGATACATATATTAAAGTTTTCTTACGTTTTACAAAGTTTTATTGTTTGTTTCTTCTATACCAGATAGTGAACAAAATGTTCATATTTCATTAATGAATGGTTTTAGTAACTCCATATGTGCTTAGATGTAGCCATTAAAAGCCATTACATTGCAGACATGGATTCAAGTGAATGTCCCTTTAAAATTAATTTAAGGAAAAAGTAAGGCATTATTTTAAAGCAACAACTTATCCATTATGTCAGAAACATGCAAGCCTGAAAGAAGTCCTCTTTAGTAATCATTTCAGAAACAGGCGTTTTGAGTAGAACCTGTATGTATTTCTTCAGAAACAGGCAAAAGCATTTGGATATAATAGTAAACATTCTGTAACGTATATAGAACGACAAGAAAGTCCATTTCTTGTACTTCTAGTATGTAATAATATAAAGCATATTACATTAGCACGGTCAGTTGACTGTCCAGCATAACAATGAGAGATCCTTACAATAACTTGCAATTAAGTTTGACAAATAGGAAAAGACATAATCCTATAAAGAATGCAATGCTGGGGAAATAAACGTGAATGTCTAGACCACTATAATAAGACAATACCCTTGACTATTTATCTTAAGTGCGAAAGGAAAGATTATGTTTATCTATCAATAGTATTTAAATACTTAAACATAGCTTGTCATTCCATGTCACCAGATATTTAAAGTTGGAATGCTGTTGACTTCCTAGAGTAGTATTTTGATGTTCCCAAAGTAAAATATTATACTACATTTAAACATTTTGACACTTAAACAATACAGAACTTTTGTCATAAATGTTTTAGAATCGAATTAATAACGGCAAATAAGTCATTATAAAAAAAGGCATAAATTATTTTTAAAAAGTATATTTATGTCAAGGTGGTCTTTAACAGAACATTATGCCACAGAATACAAGAAAATTATTAATTCTTTTGTAATGTCAATGATGTGTTTAATTATGTTTTAACAATTATAGATTTAGAGCATGCTTTAGTTTAAGAACTGAGGGAAGTAGAGCTGAGCGTGAGTTATGTGTTTAAAGGGATACTCAGGCAAATTAATTGAAAATATTAAAATGATCTTATGTTCTCATATCACGCTAAAATGACATTTTTTAAAGTCTCGGCATGAATTTTTGTATATATTCTATATATTTTGGTTTTGGAGCTTAAATATATTTATATATTTTGAATAAGATTTAGACACCAACAGAATCACCGAGTAGTTTTAAAACAAGTCATGTGACTTGAACAAACCCTGGAAGTTACAATAACATATATTGATGATATTGTATAATTGAAACAGGTCTAAGACATTCTTTCGGCATGTTCTGTAACGTTTTTTCGAGTTCATTGTGACAACTATTGGGAAGTATTAACGCTCTAACCTGACCCACATGGGTTAGGAAACCACCTTTTTATTCTTTATAAGAAAAAAAGTTTTGTTCCTGTGACTGCCTAGTGTATTCATTTTGAGGACATTTACAGAATAATTATTGAAAAATTCAAAACGAAGAAATGAAACTTTTGCCCGTGCCTTCCTTTAAAAGGTGTCGCCATGTAAACAAAATATTATTTTGACTTAAATACAAAATACTAATTCACTATAATTATACCAATTGCCAAAAAAGCAAAAGAAGCAAATAAATAGTTTACCTATGTGGCAAATGAATACTAAACTAACAAGATACCAAACAAATAAAACGTTTTTGGAATATAAAAAGATAGCATTTCTGGAGTATAATTGGCCTTTAAAAAGTATAAGTAACAAGTTAATAATTGTTATTATAGGGTCAGACTGGCAGTGCTATGTTAATATCAACTCTCAATGATGAAGATGATGATGTCATAGCTTCAGATCAGTCAGTCAGCTCACAGCATCAAGTAAAGTTACTACGGCAACAAGTAGAACATGAACACCAGCAGACACAGGTGGCTGTAGCACAGGTTCATCTCCTTAAAGAGCAGCTAGCTGCTGAAACAGCTGCAAGGATTGAATCACAGGTTTGCTTGCTTTTATAAAATATAGAATTCAGTCATTAGTCAATTGAAGTCAATCAGATGATAGACTTTTATAATTAGATTATAGGACTTTATGATGATTCTTAATCTTAAAGCTGTGAGTATGCTTCCAAATTCATGGGTATTTTCATGAACATTTTGAAAATGAATTTAGAGTAAGATATTGGGAAATAAACAAAGATATTAATTTTAACATTTCAAACGGTGCTTACGATCCACGTAAATTAGTCTAAGTAGAAATCTGATGCAAGTGACTCGATATTTTTTGAATGTATTAAAAAATAACTATTTACCTATATTGCATCATTTGTTATGACAGTAAAATAAATTCTTGACATTGCAGGCACGTACACATCAGCTGTTATTACAGAACCGTGATTTATTGGACCATATGAAACAGATATTGTCGCGCTTGCAGACACTGGAAATGCAGGCCAATAACTCTCATGATACAAACAAAATGATTGAACAGGTAAATACGGTCTCTATAATATGTGTTTAAAGGCAATTAGTTTATCTGTATAAAGATGTCAAGCTTAGTTAAATCTGTTGGGTCTGTATACAGACAAGTTAAGTTAAATCTGTGTTAAAGCAAGATACATTTGCTTAAATACAGGTTACATTAAATCTATGGAAAGATCAGCTAAGTTAAATATGTGTTAAGTCCAGCTTTAATCAAATTTACGTCAAATTTGTTTAAAAACCAGCAAAGTAAGATATGTTTTACATGTAGATCAGTCAATCAGTTAAGTCAGTGTAAAAAGAGCAGCTTAGTATCAATGTTTTAATTTTTAAACTATACATTTTTTTCGAAAAATGTACTAATTCAAATATGTTGATAAAAACAATGTAAATTAGATAAACGTGGAATCCCTAAAGTTTTCCAAAACGGCAAAATTTAAAACGTTGCAGGCTTGGTTTTAGTGATCCTGTTAATGGGCTTGTAATCTACTATCAATGTCCATGTGCTTAAGTAGAATTTAACGTTCAAACGTGAAAATGGTGAAATTTTGAATTTAGAAACATCTAAGCCAATTTAGTTCAAGTTCAGTTGCTTATTCTAAAAGGACAATTTGATACAGAAAAAGCCTTTAGTGAAAAATGAATAAATGTTATCTTAAATTTTGCAATTATCTTAAGTAAAGTACACAGTTTAACTTCATGAAAGTCTATGACTTTTGAGGGAATATCAATTTACAAGTTCATGTAAGAAAACATATTTAGAGTCAAATTAAGTGTCAAATTAAACTGTCTTCACAGTAAAGGCAATTGTATGGGATCGCATTTTTCAATATCTGTAATAATTGTGTTCATTGATAATTTCATATAATTGTAAAAAGATATAAGAATGATCTTACATGCATAATCAGTCAAACATGTATTTTATTCAGGCAGGTAGTCAATAATTAAAACTGCCATCCGTGTGTCACATGCTTTTATTTTACAAGTCTAAATTTTAAAGGGATAAATGAGGGAAAAAAATAATAATTTTTATAAAAAAAAATTTAATTATTTTCAAGATAAATAATTGATTTTCTTTGATGATTTCAGGGAAGTTCTTTGCCAGACATGACCACTCCCCAAAGTGGACCTGTGTTTTTACCAAGATCATTGTTGCCTGACAACATGATAACAAGTCAAGAACTGTGTTTGACAGACGATAAGAAACCTCTGTTTGATACAGACTCACCTGATAGTGGTCATCGTGAAATGTCCAGTGACAGCCTTTCGTTAGCTCTCCAGCAGGCAGAGTTTCCGTTCTGGGCACTGTCCCATGACGACCGCATGAAGTATAGTTTTGGTTTCGGATCTCCTGTACGCTACAAACAGACAAGCTATGAAATGACAGCTGTTGTGAACAGTAACCCATTTGCAAACAGTAAAGAGGACATTTGTGACAATGACATTTTGGATTTTACAAATGTAGGAGCTGTCTCAAACGCACTAGAATCTAGTGAAAAGGAGTGTGGCTTAGGAGTAACTCCTAAGCTGAAACCGCCCCCTGAGTTTCGAAATTTTGAATCCTTCAGAAACTCACAGGTCTCTGATGATTCAACTAACTCCTCTAATTCTGAAACAGACTCTATGAAAGATGGGATTGTGAATTTCACAGATAGTGATTATTACAGTCACACAGGAAGTAGTTTTCATACACAGTCTATGGACCAGTCTGTCGCGCCATTTGGGACTAGTGCAGATTTGAACCAGTCTGCTGGTGTCTTCAGGCCTAAGTTGGAATATCATTGTAACAATTTCAAAGATGGAAAAACAATAATGCAGAAATATTTTGATGACGTAGGGCAGTCAAAAAGACGTGCAAGTTTTTCTGATGAGGATAACACGGAGAGTTACGATGAGGTACAAGCTCCATCCCCACCCCCGCCATACACAACCGTGTATGAGGACTGAACTTTGTGAATTATTTTGAAAAGTGTGTGAGGGAAGAAAAGCGTATTTTGAAAAGTGTGTTGCGGAAGGAAAGTATTTTGAATAGTGTGTGAGGAAAGAAAACGAATAGACCAGGATCTATTGGCCAAATTATGGCCAAATCTGTTAGCTCATTCTGAAGCTAGGTTAATTTGACATGATCTTGTCTGTTTTGTATTAAAGTTAGCAATCAAATAGTAAGACTAGATAGCTTCCTTATATTACACCCTCCGCCTAACTTTACCCTCAAGAAAGATCATTAGACTCTTCAATAACTAATTATTCTGTTCATTATTTTAACATTTGGATCTACAGATTTTTTTTAACTGAAGCATTAACATTTTGGCCTAATAATATATGTACATAATTATTTTGTAAATTGCTAAAAAAATGCAAAATTATCATTGGCTCATTGCATGCTCACATCATTTATTAATTGTCTGTATATATTGAAAGGTTTCTTTGAACTATCACATTGAGACAAGGGAGCTCTGTCATAATTCAATGCTCAAAAACAATTCGATTATAACTGTAAAAGAAAAACGTCCCATTTCTAATAACTGATATCTTACAGACTATATAAGGTTTTGTTTTACCAAAAGTTGATCTGTTTTTACCTTTTATTTAATAAAATGCAAGCAATAGAATGTTATTATTTTTTTACTTTTTGTTTATGCTTATCAAAATAATATTTATTGTTAGCGCTTTTTTATGGATTGCCAAATTTTGCTTTCAGTATTATTTAAATAAAATTCACATTTGTAACAGATTATCTTTAAAACTATACAGGTACATTTTTCACACTTTATATATGTATTGGTTTGATCCATAACTGTGATATTAACAGCAGATATAAGGCTTTATTGGTTGTTATATTTTGCAGTAATATATCTATTATAGATTATAATTGTTTATATAGAAAACTTCTTTGATAATAAATTAACTTCTGCTTCAAACCTAACTGTTACCAGAGCAAACCTAGCTGTCACTGGTGCACACCTATATGTAGCTGTCACCAGGACAAATCTTGCTGTCACCTTTGCAAACCTACATGTAGCTGTCACCAGGACAACCTTAGTTGTCACCAGTGCACACCTACATGTAACTGTCACAATGACAAACCTAGCTGTCACCAGTGCACACCTACATGTAGCTGTCACAATGATAAACCTAGCTGTCACCAGTGCACACCTACATGTAGCTGTCAAAATGATAAACCTAGCTGTCACCAGTGCACACCTACATGTAGTTGTCACCAGGACAAACCTAGCTGTCACCAGTGCACACCTACATGTAGTTGTCACCAGGACAAACCTAGCTGTCACCAGTGCACACCTACATGTAGCTGTCACAATGATAAACATAGCTGTCACCAGTGCACACCTACATGTAGTTGTCACCAGGACAAACCTAGCTGTCACCAGTGCACACCTACATGTAGTTGTCACCAGGACAAACCTTACTGTCACCAGTGCACACCTACATGTAGCTGTCACAATGATAAACCTAGCTGTCACCAGTGCACACCTACATGTAGTTGTCACCAGGACAAACCTAACTGTCACCAGTGCACACCTACATGTAGCTGTCACAATGATAAACCTAGCTGTCACCAGTGCACACCTACATGTAGTTGTCACAATGATAAACCTAGCTGTCACCAGTGCACATCTACGTGTAGTTGTCACCAGGACAAACCTAGCTGTCATCAGTGCACACCTACATGTAGCTGTCATCAGGACATATAACTGTTACTAGAACAAACCTAACCCTTACTGGAACAAGCGTCATTGTGACTAGGACAGACTTAATTGTGACTAGGTCAAACATAATTGTGACTAGGTCAAACATAATTGTGACTAGGTCAAGCATCACTGTGACTATGTCAAACGTAATTGTGACTTTGTCAAACGTAATTGTGACTAGGCCAGACCTTATTGTGATTAGGACAGACCTAATTGTGACTAGGACAGACCTAATTGTGACTAGGACAGACCTAATTGTTACTATGACAAAGCTTCCTGACCAGGGCAACGTCTTCCACTCTAGTCAAATATTTACATTTTGATTGATAGACCAGAATAGAATGACAAATGCATGGCATCTAGTATAATATGAATTGATGATAATTATGATAAAATACAAGTTTTTGAATCAACATGTCACTCTTGTTATTCTTTCTTATCCCTACAAAGCAAATATTGAAATTGTATTTATGCTCGCACCTTAAACAGCATTGAAATGTAGAAAAGCTCAAATGATAATTCATTTGTCAATTTATAGCTTTCTATTAATTAAATCATGAATATCTTTACATATCTTGTGAATTTGATTTTGTACATTCTCATCACAACATTAATCAGAATCAATTTCAAGTTCTCAAGTTAGGCAGACTATCTAATGCAAACTTTTAAAGTAATTGGTTTGAACAATGTGAGACTTGTTTCAATTGTTTTTAAGTTATGTTTAAGAAATGCTTATTACATGAAGTGAAAAGAATAAGTACTGCTGTTTTTGTGAAGTACATACATGTCAATGCCTATCAAGAACTTGCCTACAAAAATAAGAACAGTTTAGGTATTCTATCAAGTAATAGCTGAAAAGAATCCGGAAAACGTCATCTCTTTTCATACCAAATATCTATTTCAAACGTTACAGGTAACATAAATGTTAGCTGAAAGAAAAAGCCTTTATAAAACATTTAGTATTGAAAATTTCACATTTAGTCGGGCGACTTTCTTGGAATGACCATAATTCCTCAAAGGAATTTTCTCTATCACGTGATTCTCACTGGCAATGTCGGGGAGACAACCACTATTAAATAATAATGTAATAATAAGTTTCTATTAGGTGAGAATTGTCATTGGCACTGTCATTTTATTACTCTGAGTTTTGATGTCATAATTCAAATAGTATTAGAGCCTTTGAACATCTTCAGTGTAGCAATAATAGTATATGTTATTTTAATTCCATTATGATAAAAGTTTCATGTTTGATGATTGAAACTTAGGCAGTGTTCCAATTAAAACCTATTATTTTCGGCGTATTTGCCATATGGATGGAATCAGTTTTAATTAAGATTTTAATAAAGGTCGGATTTTTCTGCCTGCATTTTTTAAAATTTAGTGCACAGTATTAAGCCGCTGTTTTTTGAGATCAGATTCTGCTTTGTTGACAGGGCACCATTGATCAAATTTTCCCGATTGGAATAACTGTTGTGAAGTGGTGCAAAAAGACATTAACAAACTTATTGATTACAGGATAGTTTTGGAAATCGCCTAGCATAAACTGACTCGTAGTGTAGTCAACATTTGCCGAGTACCAGGCAATAATATTTCTCACGTTTAGAGTTGCATGCACCAATTTATAAAAGCAACAACTTAATATAATTGCTTTTCTATAAATCATTGAAAATGTGTCTGAAAAGGAACTATTAAAATTGATTTAAAAGCTAGGATGCACTAAAAGTGAAATGTTGATATTATTTTTATATACAAATCAATTTTATCGCTGTGATATGAATGAGTATTAATATGTTTTATATATTGCAATGATAAATCCAATAATTATGCTCTTCTCTAAAGTTAAAGAATTATTTTGTTAATATAGATATTGTTTCGCTACTTTTTAGTGCGCCAACAAATATTATAAATTATATGAAGTTCTTGTCTTCATTTAAGACCTCAAACTACTAATAAGCAGTTTAAATGTTTGAATGTAAAATATTCATTAAAATCGGAAATGTTTAAATGTTTGAATGTAGAACATTTTAAAAATGGATGTCTGGAGATGGGTTTTTTTAATGAAAATGAGCATCAAATGACTGCTTAAACTTGATTTTATGACAACAATATTGTCTCAAGAATTATCTTTATTCTCGAAGTTATTAGTAATAATTATAAGAAAAGTTGAAAACAAATAATTGTAAAGATACCCCTGTGACGCTTGAAAACAATTTTTACTTTTACCTTTACATATTATACTAATAGAATAATACAGTCAGTGATTTTTAAGAACTATTCTATTAAAATACGAGAGAAATATTTATTTTTTAAAATGAATTGTGAGAAATATTTATATTTGAAATTTATAAAAAAAACAATATACTTGAGTATTGTCTATTAGCTGCATTTGCGACAAAATATTATGCCGCCGTATCCTGGAAGCCGATTTCTCATTTGTTGACTGGACATCACTGATCAATTATCTTTGATTGAAATTAAACTTGTTACGTGGCGCAATACCACATTCACAGGCTCATTGATTATAGAATTGGCTATGAAATGGCCTAGCGTAAAATGACTAATTGGAAGCATTTTACGTGTACCAGTCAATAATGTTCTCCGTAATCAAAGCACGCTCAAAGAGATGAAAACTGCAATACATATTGTATTTATTTTATGTAGAGGAAATGGAACTACTGTATTTATAGAAAACAGTTAATGTTTTATTAAAATTTATTTGTAAGCAAAGATGAAATGTTTTAGATTTGTAATAAGTTTTCAATTTACAAATGTATTTACAGCATACTAAGAGCACTAAATATTACGTTTTATGTACATTGTACTTTTGAATAATGATATTTCCATCCTTATTCGAGTAACTGATATTGTACTAGTAAACACTAATGGTTTGACAAAGGTACAATTCGCCTGAAAGTAACAAAACGACTTTTAAATAAAATGGCCTTTGGTCAAATTTATATCTTTTGGTAACTCCTAAAATTGATGAAGTTATCTCTATTGTAAGATAAAGCGACTTAACTAGATTTTTTTTAACGAAACGAAAGAAACAAATGCTAATGATTTCAAAAGTCGCAAATGATTCAATATGTGTCGCGTAACAATTTGTGTGTAGTAGAGAAGAAGTAAAACAATTATCATTTAGACATTCCAGTCGATGTTAGTTTGGCTTCTTAATGTTTTATCTGTACATTTACTACATTTTAGAGCTTCTGATGTTATCCTATAATGGCTTGACATCTAACAGATATCAAAACTGTAAGATTCCATTTATATATAG